GTTATCGTCTCTCAGGACTCAATTCCCGCGCGTGCGCAGATGACGATCCTGCCGCTTTAAGAGATACAGATACTTCTCTTTCAGCACGAAAAAACTGGTACGGTAAACAGAAAATTAAGCAGAGTGGTTATACTACATTTTGATAGAAACAGAGTTACTGAACTGTTACGTGTATTCAATTCATTGCCGTCATCGCGTCTACTGTTCCCCTGGTTTGGGTAACCATGGCAATGAGAAGGGACAAAAACCTATCGATTGGCTTTCTCGCTTTCAACGAGATCTCGGCGACCATATCTCAGATCCATTGATGATTTATTATCAGATGTATTATATTTAAATTTGAACAGACCTTTTGATCTACTGGCAATAGCACCACCGGGTCTACTATGACGTATTGATTGACACCTGACTGAATGCTACGCTGGGAACCGATGAAGTTGTTGCGGTAATAATTCAAGGTCAAAACACCACCACCATTTACAGCAAGCTCGTATCTGAAAATGGTTGAAAACAATCAATCGACTCGCCACGTACAACCATCAGAATAGAAACATAACCATAATGAGAATTACAACATTCTGTATCACATATGAGTGAAAAGAAGACTTACCCGCCATCAATCCGAGTCGTGGTGTAACCAAACTGTGGCGCGCCCTGCACCGATACTGTTACACCTTGCAGGGGACTTGTATCTCGACTTGTTACAGACCCACGAAGTACACTAATACGACTACGAATGCCAAAAAGAATATAAAATATAATTATTCTATAATAATAATTCGAACAAAATCAATAGGCTTGCCAATCAGTTGCTGCCCGTGACACTAATTACAATAGCACATTAACACCCCGTGTCACTGCTTCCTATATTTCACGACGATTAGTATTCACAACAGCAATGTAGTACCTTCTACAAATAAACCAATTATCGCCATATCTTCATCACCCACCCATTTTCTTTGTCTCATCTCATCAGCATTACTTACTCTGCGCTGAAAACATCAACGTCAGCATCTAACTGTATTCCACTATCCAGGAACAAGAAATCCACCTGATCGTAGAAATCTTGAGTAGCACTGACATTGAGTGTAACGAAATCTTCTGGGGACGGTGCATGCATACAAGACATGTCATGTATGCATATAGTAGTATTACAGCAGTCAGGATCGTCACAGTCAATCAGGGTATCTGTAGATAAATATATATATTGCAGTGATGTCATGTCCATTAAAGAAAATGTCGAAGCTAACAACATAATACTCCTCGATAAAAAACTCGGCAAATGTAAGAACATGCAATTTACATTTTTTTATTTCACTTTTCATTCTCTATATATTCAACTTTTCATCAATTTATGTAGTCCGCCATTTTGATTCTTGAGCAAAGGATTATGGGTAAAGTATGACATCATATAATCTGTTGTCAGAAATTGAGAAAACGACTCCTCGTCGTTAGTATCAATAGTTCCACATGCATTATTATTATCAGTGTTATAATACATATTGAGAATAACCAGCATAGTACCCACGAAGCCGGGGTGCATTGCAACCACGTGCACACGATATATGTCTATGTCTAAACAACAGCATGTTTTGTAAACATACCTTTATCGTTGTCTATTTCGTCATCACATGACGTTTCAATACCTATTGGAGACAAATACAACGGTGAATGGTGGGTGATGTGTATGTACGTTGTTAGGTTTTCATACCCTAATAGTGTAGGATATGTTTTAACAAATAGTTTTTCATTGACAGGCTAAATCAGGTTTTCTATGTCCCTAAACTGGAATTCATTTGTCTTAACTGTATCGCATGACGATAAACTAGTGACCATGAAGCACATAAACAGCATACACGACAATCGTAAAAGGTGTATTCATACCAATACTGCAGAACTCTCCTTTATAGTCGTCATAGCAACGACATTTCCATACGCCATCAACCATTATACAGTCACCTTTACCACCACAATCGCTATGGCACGCATCTAGAATCAACAAACAATATCAAGTTACTCTATCGAGTCAAACAGAATAAATAATCCTTGCATGTGTTAATAATAGTGACCCCCCCTCGTCGTCTGACATTTTTCCGTGATGCATTGCGCAAACAAAAGTGACGTCACTCCTCCTAAATACTTCACACAGACTACACGAGCCACAGATATTTTGTTTTTCGCGAACAATATTACATTATAATCTATCGATATTTTATGAATAGAAACTATTATCTTTTCTTTATATACATTTTATAGAAAAATAGAGGAAGAATCAGAAAATGTTGTAGGAGATTGTCCCTTCCCTGGCTCATTGCTTTTGTAAATTTGCATTCCAAGATCAGAAATCGCCCCCCAAATCTGTAATTATTTTACAGCACGAAACATTTGCATTACATGTTTGTAAATGTGTAACTCGGCCTCTGCACACGGGACGCTATCATGTCAACGTTCATTGGTGTATGTTCGTTCCGTATGCGCATGCCCAGTTTTGACGTCATTACCGTTTAGTAACATAGTCCTAATATCACTCACCAATATGACACGTGTCTCCAGTCCACCCCATGGCACAGTCACATGTTCCATTACGACATACACCGTGGTCACAAGCCTTTACACAATCACCTACAATGTAAAATATTATATTAAGTGACGTTGAAACATACTACTGAACGATACTATAATATGGTATGGAAACACCCATACATGAATAATGGCCCCACATCTCATATGTATTATTCCATAGACCCCCATACTGTTATAGAATATATTTCATACGTGCATTATATATATTATATTCTATTTTAGGCGTATTCCAGGTAAATATTTGCATTTTACTTACGATCTATACACACTGGTCCAGTCCATCCACTAAAGCATTCACATGTACCATTGTTACAAATACCAAGACCGGAACAATAATCTTCACAAGAGACTGGCAGTAAATAATATAATTTTATAAAATAGTATTCATGCTTGTATTTTCTAAATTTTGAACGTTTGGTTAAAGCGAAGGGATCGTCACCTGCGCACGCGCGGGAATTAAGTCCCAAGCGATGATAAAAACGCACGCGAAGGCTCATGGGCAGACGCTAGTTTGTGAACAACGACATGCTATGGCCGTTTGCCACATGCGCAGGTGACGACTACCGCGCTTTAAGAACCAATATGTATTCAGGTATAAAATAATAGCAGGCTCTTACGCCCTCAAGACGGCTTGTACGGTAAACTGGCCCATAAATGTTTACAGTGTAAAGCCAAAACTCTAAATATATAACAGCGACAACGATTTGTTGTGTATGTATCATAGATTATTGAACTTGGACAAACAAATATTCTTACGTTCTGAACAGTCGGTTCCTTCCCAGTTTCCATAGCAACTACATATACCAGTGACATTGTCGCAACTTCCGTGCCCGGAACAGTCTTGTGGACATGCCCTGTAAGCTAATGTTAATGAAACGTTACAATAAACCATTTGACGGATTCTTTGTCGTGTGACAATGTTGTTCAAACACGTCATCAAGTTGTAATATAAACACTAAAATAATCCATTAAGTGAATAAATATGCAGGTGAAATGCTCGAGTGAACTGCTGGAAAAATGTTCAGTCATTTGGTGCATATTTGAGTCGGTGACGAGAATCAACCTCGAACGAGGCTGCAAGTTGCTGACGTACACAGTGACCTTAACAAGACCTGTCATTTTCACCACAGATGGCACACTTTGTAAATGTGGAATGATATTTTCGACTAACGATCACCGGATCTTTGACGCCTGTATTGGGTAATTTATAATCCATTCCTTTCATTCATGACAGAGATCGTGCTAGCTGACAAACATAAACTCACTTACCTGTTGTGCAGACACTTCCCTGCCATCCTTGATAGCATCTACACACCCCATCCACACAATTACCATTACTGTTACAGTTTGGCGGTATACAGTCAACTAACAAGATAACATACATTTACTTTCAGTCAGTGAACGTGCTTGTATTTACACTGAGGCGCGATTCTGAACTAACCGTTAAAAGATGATAATATTAAAAATCAGGGATAAAATTCACTATTTAAATAAAAAACAACAACATTTCTGTCATATTTTTAAAACACATAACCCAAAGGATCTCTAGTATTTTTTGAAAAAAAAAATGTTTGTCAGCAAATTTAAAACAATTTTTGATGACAATTAAGCACATCTTAAATACCCACAAATAACTTGTTTTCAAAATAAAACATGAATGATTACTAGGAACGAATGATTCATTAAATTGTTTAAGTTATACGACATTTAAAGATTTCTGCAATAAGTGCACCATGTTACCAGCAATACTAACACAATCAAGTGAAAAGATATTGCTTAAAGTGGGAGGGTCGTCACCTGCGCACGCGCGGGAATTGAGTCCCAAGCGACGATAACAACGCAAGCTAAAAACGCAAAGGCTCATGGTTAGACGCTTGTTTGTAAACAATGATAAGCTATGGCCATATGACGCATGCGCAGGTGACGACTCCCACGCTTTAAACTACTAGTACAGTCCTGGGCTGGAACTAGAAACTCGCGGGAAAACATTTGGGATGCCATTGATCTAACCTGATAACCAACGAAAGGTGACGCAAACACTGCTTTAAAGCATGTCCTCGTTCGCGATATATACTTCTCCTAATTATACAGATAATACATACTACAAGTGTTTTCAAAGTAGGGACAAACTTATAAACACTTTAAATGTTTTACCTAAAGTGAGTAAAGATGTTTTATTTCAAGCCAGTAATCTAAACTATTTGTGGTTTGAAGTAAAACACTTCATATGCTTAATTATAAAACACTTCTAATTTACAGTTCATTTGAATTCTATAACTTGTATCTACAATTTCTTACAGAGAAGCCAAGTAGGAAATGAGTCAACCGACAGACGGAAATACATTGCCCCTCATGATAAGATTATTTTGATTCAGGCACTGGGGATGGGCACCATACTCAATATCAGCAGACTGAAACACTCTCAGCCGATGACTAATAGTATTTAAAATAGGGGGGGGGGGGGTCTGGGAGAATATGATATTTGTTTCCTTCTAACAATAACATGGCAAAATACCAGTAATTTTATTTTCTCCATTTTCTTCAAAAACATTTTTTGTTCATTCTACGGTAGCTCATAAATTTGTTTGACTTGTCTGCATCTTTCAAAACAATATTTGTTTTCACACAATCCCCCGGACCTTTTTTTCAAATGGGCAGAATGACGAATGCCTTTCCCAAACTCCAAAAGTTAGTGGCCTGAGAAGACTTATCATACAGCTGCCTACCAATGATATTTGAACAGTCGATGGAATCAAACCCATAGCCTCCCCGCAGATACCTAAGAATTGTACTAATCTTCTAAACGAACACGCCCATGCGATCATTCAACTTACGTTTACCGCATGCCGGCCCTGTCCATCCCTGGTAACATTCACATACAGCTTCAACACAGTCTCCATGGTTACTGCAATCACTCGGTATACAGTCAGCTGGAACGTTAGTAGAATATTATGAGCATTACATAATAACGTTTAAAAGAATCTTTTAGATTGTTCTGATACACATATATTCCACTCGACAGATCGAAAGAAAGTTAAACAAGACATGAATGTCACAGTCCCCATTATTTAATTATAAAATACTCATTTTAAAATAATACATGGAACATCTACAAACAATTGAATTAATATGATTTCTCATAATCTGATACCTGAAAACTTTCATTCACCTGGGTCCAAAATCTCAGAGTACCTGCGTTTGTTTCAGCCACTATAATTCCCTGACACTTCTCTACAGTTTCCATTCAGATTAGTAATGGTACGACCCATCTGTCACTGATTCAAATCAAGGTCACGACCAGGTCATGACATCACTAAAAACCCTAGCATTACAATCTAAGCTAATTATTTATTCTGAGCATGCTCAGTTGTTGTCTCAACGGTGTTGGGAGAGGTAGTTTTGGATGAAAATCATGAAAACGACCCACTGATGACTGCGAACGCGTTGAACGCACGTCACGTACGCCCATGCAAAGGGCGCTGCGTATATAAATGACCACATTTCCCATCTGTTTGCAATTACTAATTCCCACTGTTTTGTTTCCACGTAGTGAATGGAAGATAATTATATGATTAAACGTTTAATTAATTCATCCATTATAGCCTACACGACAGTTATGTACAATGTACGTGTCATGTAATAGAAGCAAATGTATTCCAGCCAGTATGTTTGGAACAAACCCGATGGTACATGACCCTCCATGTATTATATGACTCAAGCAGAACAGCATAAGAAAAAT